GGCGCAAAGCCTTCATGACAGATATTGGCATAATGTTGACTGTGGCCCCACAGTCGACAAACACTTTGGAAATGGGGAATCCTTCGATGTGAGCCGTGATGTACAACGGCTTCAGGTGTTGGAGATTAACCGAAGGGGAACGAGGAAATAGCTCGGCCAATGCCGCCTTAAGGTTGTCCGTGCTTCGGGTCTCTCGGTCGTCATCGTTTGCGATGAAATCGACTTGTGTTGCCTCCTCGGCGACCACATCCCCGTCCAAGAAATTCGACTGGGGTGTACTTGGTTGGAATTCGGCTGGTAACACGTGGACCATACTGATCTCCATTTGTTCGAGAACCGAAGGGCCCATTGGATCGTGGTCGTCGTCTTCTGCCGAACTAGCCACAGTATCAGTCGGCGGAACATCCTCGATCAAGCTTTCAAGTGCCTCGGTAAGAGCCGGTACCCGAGACATGGGAACCGAGTCGAATGTGGTGTGGCTATTTTCCTCGACCATGTTGACTGTTGAAGATTTATGTTGGTCCTTTGTTATACGGGCCCGTTCTTCATAGGCAATGCGGGCGTTCCTAGTGTCGAGATATGTATCCAACCTTGCTATTCGTTTTTCTTCGTCGGCCGTGAGGCCGAAGAGTGATACCGCCGAGAAAACTTCGAAATGATAACGCAAATGCTGAAGGTCATCGAGCGAGAAAGGTAATTCGGCGGTGTCGATATCTGTATAAGGATCAACATCAAAACCAAGTACCCGAGCTTCCCGTATATGCTGGAACCTTGCCTTAATTGCTGGGTCGGAGGTTTTCTGAATGATTTGCTCGGCATCAGGGCAAGTGAGAGCTAGGTCGAGGGCTTCCTGACACTCCTTGGGTAGTCCGTACAAGTCATTGGCGGAGTATTTCTTGTGAAACTCTCTCATGTATTCCAAGGATTCACCGAGGAATGGGGGATGTAAGTTGCGCCGTACTTTGATAAACGGTTCGCGCGGTGGTGATGAGGAAATCTTCCTTTTGGCTTCTTGCGTGAAGTGTTCTAGCCGAGCTCTAGTTTCCCCAGGCCGAAGCAGGATTTTGATACGTTTCTCAGCATCCTCAATGGTGGTTTCAAAACCGGCAGCAGCTACTTGCTTCCCTTCGGCCAATTCGGTCATGATAGTCGGGGTTGGCCGTTCACTGATGCTTTCCGCGGCCTTCTTTGGTTGCCACTGGTTGGTAGTGCTGGCCTGTGCTCCTCGTCGTCGAGCCATGCAATCAATCCGTTGACGGCGACGTTTTTGGGATTTAGACAGTGCTGTATATAAACCAGTCGGGGAGTTGTAACTGTACCAGCGTTGATCCGATGTTCGGGGTGGTTTGAAGGTTTTGCGATCGGCTGACGAGCTGGAACTGTTAGTATTGTGCGAGTAGTAATCCTCATTATAGAAAGGCGCGTCGAAATCAAGGCGCCGCCTGACTGAGGCCTGGTCTTTCGGCCGTACTTGTAAGCCGAGTCGATCGAACACTTGACGTCGCGGACCAACTTCCTTTGGTGCTGTGGTAAGGGCCGTGGGTGTTGTTGAAAATGTCTTCTTCCCAGGTTCAATCGATGTTTTACAATGGTCACATAAAACCTTTGACTCATGAATTTCGTCGGAACTCGACCCCATCATAGGCTCATCGGCGAGGGGCCTCGATTGTTCCGTGGGTGGTGCATTTGAAAATATATCAAGCTTCAGCCTTGTTCGACCATTCTGTTTACGGATATGCTGCACCGGAACGTAATCGGCCTTCCCTTTGTTTTTAGGAAGATGAGCATCCACCATACCAATTGTTGTTGAAGGGAAGGGATTGACGTCGACCGCCATCTGCTTTTCCGGGAATTTCAATTTTCCTTTTTCGATCCAACTTTGGATTGTATCCCGGAACACGACACAATTATTTGTTGCATGCTTATTAGAATTATGGTACTTGCAGTATATCTTTCCTTTCAATTCATCGGCCTTAGGGATAATATGTCCCGGCCGAAGCTTGATGATCTTTGCCGCCAATAATTGATCGAAAATTGCATCGGCCTTGGTGATGTCGAAAGTGTATACTTTTGAAGATTTACTTATGTCCTCGGCGGCCGAATGGGCTTTGGTGTCTTTGCCGTGTACTTGAGCCAGAGCCTTGCAGACGTATGGTTTATCTATTACTATCTCGGCCGCATCCACACTGACGTACTGAGGGTCCCCGCTTTCGGCCGATGCATAGCTGACCGTGGGGTTTTTATACAACGTTCCCCGGGATGGTGATTTTGAGACCTTCTCTTCTCGGAGCAGGTAATCATACTGTTCGACATGTTGAGCAAGTTCGTACATATCGCGAATGTTTGCCCCCAGGAACTTCTTTTTGTACTCCACGTCTAATCCGTTGAGAGCAATCCTGACGAATTCCACTTCGGGGAGTGGTACTCGGCACCAATTCCTGGCCGACTTGAACCTTGTTAAGTACTCCATTGGCGATTCGTCGGATGCTTGAGCCATCCTGGCCAAGGATGACACTGACATCTCCATCCCAGGCCGATAGAATTGTTCATGGAATTTTTCGACCAACTCCTCCCAACTCTGCACAGAATTGGGTGGAAGATTAATGTACCAGGCGAAAGCGGAGCCTGTCAATGAAAAGTTAAACAGACGTAGTTTGTAGAAATCGCTATTAACGTCTCCACACTGCGCCGTGAACCGAGCCACATGTTCTAATGAGGACAAAGACGACTCCCCGGCGAAGAGGCTGAAATCAGGGATCTTAAATCCCCGTGGGTATTCAAACCTTTCTACGTAAGCCGGGTAAGGATGAATGAATTTTGGAAACTTCGGCCCTTTCTTCAAGGCCGAATCAATCATTCTCTGGACTTCGGTCATGTTCACGGAGGCGGCTTCTTCTCCCTGGCTTGGTCCCTCGGATCTATGTCCTGATCCTCTTTCTAAGGTGACTGGTTGCGGTCGAGCGGACGCTCTATCGGCAGGTATGGGCACGTTCGTCGAGAGCTGTCGAGGTTGGCCGACCTGGCCATCTTCGAAGGCTTTACTAACTAATATTTCAAGCATTCTGGTCTGTGTATCGTTGTTACTTCGTATTGCCTCTAGCAAATCATTCATCTTTTGACCAATCGACTGCTCGACCTGTCGATACTGCTCATCGAGTCGTCTCCGAAGAAACGACCTAGTTGGTGGATCAGAGCCTTCTCCACCATCGTCGTCGCAGTCTTCCACTATCCCCTCCACGAATATGGGCGTCGTTTGATTCGGGATAGCCGCGTTGTGAGGTTGCCCACCGAGACAGATCTCATTCTCTCGGCGGGTCACACTTGTAGCCTCGGGTGGCAAAGCAATGACCGGATTTTTTGCTGGGTGCGAATCCTGCCCAAGGCCTTGCACTGGTAAGTCAACTGTTGACTTTCCCATGTTTGTTTTCTTCTTGGTAGACCGTGTTTCTACGGTCATGAACTCCGAAGGTTTAGCACAATGGTCCCACTGGGCGTGCCAAAATGTTGACTACAAAAATTACAGAACCTACGTGGCGCGCAGGCCGAATAACTAATGAGCTAACTAATGTCCTTCGGTTGAATGCAGGGCGTGCCAACTCGTCGGCCGAGCTAGGCCGAGGAGTAGAATTTGATGTGGTCGCGTTGAGCGCGCTGTTGACTTCTGTATCTTGCGATTGCGACCGAGGAAGGAACGCTCTCGGTCTCTGGATTCTATAGCCTGAAGACAAGGCTACTAATTCTACGGAGTTCACAACTCGTCGAAGCCTGATTCGGCCACTGTGATTATATTCGTAAGGGTATAAGCACGCCGAATTGAGACCAAACTATACGGGCACAGGTATTCGAATGTGATGTATGTCTTGATGGTAAACGTAGTTCGGCCGTCGGAATGCCGAACCCTGAAACTTATTTGTGAGTATCCAATCATAAACTCGCTCGGCCTCCAATGCGCCGAGCAGAGCAATTCGTAACACCCAACTATGCCGAAATGGCTTAGTAAGATGACCTCTACCAACAAAGGTTCGAAAACCTTCCTCGGCCGAGACTTAGATAGATAATCGGTCGACCTCGACGCAGTGCTGTTTATCCAAACTGAAGGTGTGTCTCGGTCGGCTGATTCTGCGGCAGCAGTGCTGTTTATCCAAACTGAAGGTGCTCACCGGTTGCTTCCACAGTGCTGTTTGTCCAAACTGAAGGTGTGTCGGCGGGAAAAGAAAAGGAAAAAATCTCAAAGTGTTTGAGAGAATTTGCGCAGGGCAATTGTATGCTGATGTTGAAGGGGCTTTTCCATTGCGTAATTTCTTGTATTTATAGCACCTCGCTCCTTGAATCCCATTCTGATCTGGATTGGGAGTCCTTATCCCATTTCACCTTTAACTCGAACAACCCTAGTCCTACTGGGATTCTGAATTCTCCTCCTTTTGAGGCTTTATCCCTTGCTGGTCGAGAATCCTGATTGCACCAGGATTTCCTCGACCTTTCCTCACTTATCTGGACTACTTTTAAGATAGGATCTCGACGACCCTGCCAGCTGGTCCGGGTTTCATTATTTGGCCCATCGCATGTCATTACCTTGGGCCGAGCCCGTCTTGCTGCTCGGCCCAATCCCAATATTTTGGGCCCAAACAGATTAGGAAGAATCTTTTGATGAATTGATGACATACCCTACAAGGTCATCTAGAGTTGGCAATGAAGAGGATGATGCCTTTTATTTAGAATTAGATGAAGAGGATTTGGATGATTGATTGATATCTTTGTTTGTATTTTGATTTCTATGAAGAGGATGTGGATGAATGATTGTTTTCTTTGTTTGTATTACCTTTTGAATGATGAATTTGGATGATATTACCTTTGAATGATGAATTTAGATGATATTATCTTTTGAATGACTATGGATTTGAATGAAAAATTGAGAATGAATGTTTATTTTACATAGTATTATTTTTATACAATTATATGTATAATATATAAAACATATATATATAAAAAAAAATTAAATCCCATGAGGCTTCGCCTCACGCCTCCCGCCTAGGCCGGGCTTCACCTTGGACGCCTCGCCCACGCCTGACGCTTTTAATACATTGATCTTTTCACACCAAAGCGAAGATACATTCCTAGATTGAACAGGTACAAGCTACAGCCAAAACTTTAAATCTCGCCTGTCTCTTTGCATCGTATGGGGACGTTTGCTGTTAACTGTTCAGAGAAACAAATGATGGACATGTTATCACCAAGGAGCAAAACCAGTAACATAAAACTGAACCCCAAACTATTCCATTAATAATCAGGTTCAGGGTTGAGAACTTCCAAACGCCTAAATCACCAAGAAAACTTGACAAAACATGCTATAGCTCGAACTTCCAAAACTTGGTGATTTAGGCCTTTGGAAGTTCCAAAACTTGCATCAAATTCAGACACAATCCTTGCTAGTTTTCATGCTATAAACAATTACTGCAGTTCTGAAAAGATGGCTCGAGAAAACCAGGAACATCTATGAATTAGTTATTCACACGCAATTTATACGAACTCCACCTTCTAGTTTAAACAACTTTACTGCCAAAAACAGATCCGGAAGTGTTAGAGTTTCATGCATAAAATGCAACCCTTACCACATTTAGAGATTGAATACAACAACCGAAGCTTTATCTGATCTCCACATTTGCCATCTTGATACTTGAAGTTATCAATGAGCATATTCAGATAGAGATATGATTGTTAAGTCTTGTAAGGGGGACAATCGAAAAACTACACCAACCTTTGAGTTCACTAATGTGCATACCTCTGTCTAACGCCAGAGACACTATCAAGAAGTTCCATCGTTTTTTGCACCTTAAATTTTTTTGATTTCTCCTGGCTGTCCACAACCAAGGTTGAGATTCTCAAAATAGTGATAAGTTCAGCTTCAATTTTGTTAAGTTGGTAATCCAGATGTTCTAAGAAACTCTCGAAAGAGGTTATTCCCTTCAAGCTACTAATTGTCTCATCTTCATTCCAAGCTCCCTTATTTAAACGTTCTCGAAGGTCCTCCCCTTCTGGCTCAACAGGTGAGCCTTCTTGGTTGTCTTTAGGAAGCGGCATTTCTTTATTGAGATCATTTGGGACAAATTCTTTGCTCTCCTTCAAATCTTCTGCAACTTCCGTTGTTGGTGAAACAATTCGAACAGGACTAAAAGCATCTTCTCTGACAAGTCCAAGATCCAAAGAAACATTCCCGATTAGCTGCCTTTCTTTCAAAGAAATCGCCTGAAACCAAATTTGTCTTCTTCTGATCATATTATCGCTGAAAGTTAAAGATCTTGAATAAGTTACGGTAAGGGAACAAAGATTGGAATAAGAGCATTAAGAAAAAGTATATCTTACTAGTGGTTGCTATTTTTCCAGTTGTAACATTACGAGGAAGGAGGTTATGAATTTGGGACCTCCATTTCAAAGATGGGTGGCTACCAACTGAGCCTTACCCTGACCTCCTTTCTAAAGGCTCGACTGAGCTAAGATAGCGTATAATATCTTCTCTTATGCAGTCATGATTAAGTTTTGACTACAATTTTGCAGACAATCCGTAACCACATCTGGAAAAGTTGAAAACATGGCAGCTTGAAACATCATAAACCAATTACGGACCTATAAATGTCCTTTTCAATTCGGTAAACAACCACTAATTTTGGTGATAGTCGATTTTTGTCAATGGAAACATAATGGATTAGTGGAATTCCATCTTAAACCGCATTATTAAAAACAATGGCTTAATCCGGTATTCCTCCACTTACACTGGAAAATCTCGTCCATAATTATTAACAGTTTATTTTACCTCATTAAGCTTTGTGGAAAGCTCATCGAGCAACTCTATGCGGTGATTTGACTTCTCCAATGCTTCCATGATCTTTTTCTTCTGCAAGACCAGCTCCCTTGCATCGTCTTCCTTCCCAGTTTGGACATTAATTGCTGCTTGCCGTTTCAGCTTCTCGGCTGCCTCTGACAGCCGCAAAAGCCTCAATCTTGCATTGTTTGCTAAGCCAACAACCATGAAATGTTCTTAAAATTACGTCACGTAGTTTGTTCTAAAGTGCAGAAATTCACCAAAACAGTAACAGCCAAGAAAACAGACAATTTAACTCAACCCATAAAACTATTGGATTGAAATTCATCAACCACTTCTTGGTGCAGAAAATCTAAAGATCACATTAAAAAATGTGTAATTTTGTAAACGAAAGAAGCTTTCATACAAATTAATTATCTAGCAAAAAAGCTTATAACGACAAAAGAAACAAACAAGGCGGGAACTTGCAATAAATTGAACATAAAAAATGTAGTCTTTCAATGAAAAAGGAAAATGGGTAATCTCCAATTCATATAAAATATTATGAAAGAGAGGAAAGCAGGTGTATTGTTTATATATATATATATGTATGTATGTATGTATGTATGTATGTATGTATATACCTTTGGCTCTGGCGATCTCAGCCTCAGAGTGGAGCTGACCGAGCTGGGCACGTAGCTCCTCTGTGTTGACATTGGAAGCCAAGCACATGGGCGTCCTCCATGAAGCTCTCCGACGAACAACCATGGCTGTTCCACCACCACTTCACTGTATCATCTCTCTCTCTCTCTCTCTCTCTCTCTCTCTCTCTCTCTCTCTCTCTCGTCTGTCCGGACGAATGGTGGTTCCACCATGGATGAGGCCCATAGCTTACGGTCTAGAAGGTTGAAGCCTATTTTCGAATGACCCAAAGAAGACCTCTCTTTGAAATGGGCTTTGAGATTGTATATTACTTTTAAGGCCTCGTTTGATTTGGATTGAGTTTTGATAATTCACTCGATTCAGAAAGAATGGTACACCTAGCTTCCTCAACCTGATCAAATCGATTGCGTGTTGAATGGGCAAATGGATCATAACTTTTATAACTTATAAAAGTTGATGTGAGAATGTGAGGACAAAATCTCACACCGGTGAGACCAAACTATGTAAGGATTTATAAGAGGTTGAACTATTTTTCATATTGTCAATTGGTTTTATAGTGAAACCCTAACTTTTTTCATGTCATGCAAGCAGGTTGGACATGTGTGAAGTCTAACGACCACACGTGCTCCACATCACCCCATTTGTGTTGTCCACGTGTTCGGCTTGAAAATTTGCCACACGTGAGAGGACATATGAGAATGTTAGGACAAAGTATGTCTATGTTGGGCCACTCCCCATATTGCAAATTAGTTTTTATGGTGAAACCCCCACTTCCTTCAGTTGAAAATAATAAGGTTTTCTTAGTTGTTTTTCGGATTTACCTCATTAAAAAAATTTCTACATCAGTCCCTGTATACATATCATTGCATTCTTTGCGGCAAAAATTCTAATTTTAATTTTCTTCTCTCTATCGCCGAGCCTGATCAAATCGAATGATTGTTGAATGGAGAAATGGATCCTAACTTTTATAATTTGTAAAAGTTAAAGATAAAAAATGCAACAGCATGAAGAAACTTATTCCTCATAATTTAGATAAATATACAGCTCACATCTGATTAAATCCTAAACAGTGGTTTAGACACAAAACGTGGCTAATCTAAACTTCATTCCATTTACTTGTGTCCCAATTTCCCTTCTTTTGCTAATCACTTTTGTCAAATTATAATAGTGATTTGTTTCCTATCTTACTTGCATGCTATAATAGTTAAAAGGATTGATCCCCATATACTTGTTTTCTTGTTGGATTCTTCCTCTTCTAGTTTTTCAGTTGGCGTCGTTCATAAAAAACATGTTTTATCTGCCTTTTCTTATGAAGCATGCATGAATTAACCCAAGTAAATTGAAGCCTCTATCGACTGTGGAAACTTTTATTTCCATATGTTGTCACATCCATTTTCCTTTCGAACCGAGTATTCTTTCGCTTCGATTTGCCATCAAAATTTGGGTCCACTCAAGAAGCTCGTCCAAGACTACTCGAGTGTTGATACCCCACGATTTGACCTAAAATACCCTAATAATATGGACATCATCTCATCAGTTTTGATCCACAACCAACCAATTATGAATGATGAATGACTGTTACGAGTCAGTCATGACAGCCTCCTATCAACGACCCAACCCACGCTCAACACTCAATCTCAAAAAATTGACATTGACAACCTCCTAATTCATCTCACGGTAAAAGAAAGAGAGAATTCGGGTAAAATGTTATGCCTCATTCAGTTATTAGAATTGTACAAGATTTAACAGTTGTAAAGACCAATTAGATCTTTATATGTAATATCCAACTGTTTATTTTTCGGACCACTTAATTCTACCCGTTAAGAAAGAAATACCTGAAAGAAAAATTATGAATTTGTAGTTTTTTTGAGACGAATATATATTAAAAGAAAGTTCAGGTGGCGCATGCTGCAGGGTTTCTACTTTCTAGCACACAAGGGCTAAGAACCTAAGATTGCAGTCTATACCAGGTTTCAGATGCCCACATTTTTCCATATAAATCATTGCATCCCCTCTTTTCTCTTTGTTTCTTTAACAGAATAATATGCTATATCGTGGATATGCTTGCACAAAATTTTAAGGGCATGAAATTATCCTCCTTTTAACAATTTATAATTTTATTTTGAAAATTATTGCGAAGAGGAGGCGTGTAATTACAAAACAAAGTTGCATGGCCTGCAATCTGCATAATGAGATTACTTCTGCAGTGAACATGGGAGATTTAAGTGCACTTTCCATAATAGGAAATGTTCTCACGTTAGATTGTCTAACAACATAATTACATGTCTACATTCTATGAGCTAATTAGCATAATTAATATTCATACTTGATAGGTCGTTTATATTTAGTTAATTAGCATTTGCTCGACAGCATAATTCTGGTAACTAAGAAAAAGTATTGTGTCAAACACAAAGCATATATATGGCTTTGAAGGAGGAGAAGCGAGCTAGACACTTCCACAACGCAAATGAGTTAACTTATGGCAGACTAGAAGTTCCGTTAATGTGCTTTAATTAGATGATGATCATAACGTGAATCAAATTGTCAATCGAGGAGCTATAACTTCATTAATTTGTTTACATAAGATGTATAGATGTATGGTTGCTGCTGATATGTATATGTACAAATGTAGCCTGTGAATTATGCCGGATTTTTGGGGTTAAAAGTTTGACTTTGTAGCGAAAGCCTACAGCTTAATTAATTTCATTAGATGACATTTGATCATCTGTTATATTATAACAAGACATGACAAGCAAGATATCCATTCAAGAAAGAAAAAATCTTCTAGAGAGGTCGTGTATTAAAATGATTAAAGCATCCAAACTTCGTTCCTTGTACATGTAGAATTCATGATATGTATGTTTTCAATTGAGTATATATTGAAGAATAGGAGAGATTGTTTTTAATGTTCTAAATACAGGATAGTACACTATATATTTTTTAAGTCTCTTTACTTGTATAATGACATATGGCGAATGTGTTCATGTTTCGAATACACTGAAAAATCTCTTAAAGAATAAAGCACAATAATGAAACATATACATACATACATACATATACATATATATTCATATATAACTTAAGGGCTTTCATATGTAACTCTATTAATAGTCGTTCAAACTAGGCCAAACTTGCGAATATTAACAAAATGATAACAATTAACCTCCTGCACCAGTCAAAAGGAGACATCGCATATATATATAGTTAGGTAGTCTTGACATCTTGTTCGAAAACTACGGGTTGAGGAGTTCTATACAAGCAAGTAAACCCGAGTGAGCATTCAAATGATCCCGTACATATAAGAGACATCTATCATATAGCACCCAATAATTTTTTCAAGAGGATGCATGCTTTACTCATCACTTTGTTATATCATATACCTTAATCTTTTGGGTATGCCCTTATATTAATATTTTGAATTGGTTTTCCCCCTCTGATGCCAAGTTCGCTTTGTAGTTTGAACATGATTTATTTTTTGCTTTTTAATTAAAATGTTTTATGAAATTAGTATAACTCCTCACTTTCGTCTATGACAATAAAAGTTGATAGAAGTGGTTCTGAGTTTATACACTGTAAACCATTTTGGTCATTTCGTAAAAAATATGTCAATATCCTCTTTAAATTGTCATGTGAACAACCATGTGACCACGTTTTAAGGGAATATTTGTCAAATCAACCCCTCCACTGAAAGAGGATTTGACATTGTTTTTAGGGAATGACCAAAATGACTTACGGTGGATAAACTTAAGAATCACTTCTATCGATTTTCATTGGACCAAAGTAAAGTTATACCAATCTCATGAACTATTTTGACTAAAAAGACTTTTTTTGCTTTTTTTTGGGGGTCCGAAATGGAGATAATGCCTAAAAAGAAATACCTAATAAATTGTCTCTCGAAAGGGTCTTAATATAAATAGGATGGTCACAGAGATGGTAAGCCCCAACTCAAGGCCAACGACATGATTTGTTTAAAGAGTTTTTTTTTTTTTTTTTTTCTTAATTTTCAATAAAATGCTACCATTTGGCTCAGAAAAAAAACCTTTACCACTAACAGGAGGGGAATGAGGTAGACGAAGCACGCCCTCCCCTCCTCCCCCTTGTATCCCTTCTTTTTTGTTCAATGTCTTTCTTCGTGGTATAATATTCTCTCATGTTACTCAGACTTAGTTTTGAGTTCCCCATCATCGCTTTTTCACTTTTTCCTCATGCCATTTCTGTAGAATTATCAGAGAGATGGGTCATACGGCCCATTTCCAACAACACCGATATTGTCTCCAACTTGGTAAGGTTTTATCACAAAGGCCTCGGTGTTAGTTAGAGTGAGATTAGAATATTTAAACTATAAGGCCTCGGTGTTAGTTAAAGTGAGATTATAATATTTAAACTATTACTTTTTCTTTTTGTATGGCCAATGTGGGATTCAACACACCCCCTCACGTGAGACCCAATTAGTGAGTCACACGTGGAAGATCCACACATCGACAATCACGTGGAGCCAAGAGGACTCACCCTACACGCGGGGCCAAGGGACCCATGCACCATCATCGCGTGGGGTCAAGAGGACCCACACATCACGTGGCAATACAGTATGGGCTCGCTCCCTGGCTCTGATACCATGTAAAATTATCAAAGAGACGGGCCATACAACCCACTTCCAACAACACCGATATTGTTCCCAACTTGACAATTACCACCTGCACAATCCGTCAGGTGTGGGGCCTCGGTGTTAGTTAGAGTGGGGTTAGAATATTTAAACTATTACTTTTCTTTTTGTATGGACGATGTGGGATTCAACAAATTCCACTCCCAAATACCATTTTTTCCAAGATTTCTTTTTTTTTTTGGTCAAAGAAGATTTCTTATTTTCTACTCGTTGATTCATCATCAGTTTGAAGAACTTCGTTAGCATATACTTAAACGGCTTTCTAAGTTAAATCAAGATTGTTTTCGCTTTTATGCGCAATTGGATCTTTAGAGACCAAGTTCGAGTCCACAGATCTACAATTGTTAAATAGGTTCTTCATGGTTAGATGAGATGATTTCAATGACAGCACTGGTTCGATTTTGTGGTGCCTGTCAAGGTTTAGGATTATGGCTTTATTTAGGATTTTGGTTATTGTGAATTATATGAGCTTGACTTTGGATTATGTTTGAATTTG